AAGGCATGAAAAACATTAGATAGGGGGGTTCCTAAATTGTAAAGTTAGATTGTGGATTTGATATCATTCTTGTTTTTTATTGTAAGCACATATAGCTATACTTTTCCTACTAAACACTGCTTTCTTTTGTTGGATCCTATAAGTTTCAGCATATTGTGATTTGGTTTTCATGTGCCTCTAAGTATTTTCTTTTATGGCTTATTATTTTTTGGTGGTTTATTTTTATTTTTATTTCTTTTAGACAGAGTCTCATTCTGTTGCCCTGGGTAGAGTGCCATGGTGTCATAGCTCATAGCTACCTCACACTCTTGGGCTCAAGCAATTCTCTTGCCTCAGTCTCCCAACTAGCTGGGACTATAGGTACATAGCATGATGCCATGCCTGGCTAGTTTTTCTCTTCCTCAGGCTGGTCTCCAAATCCTCAGCTCAGGCAATCTGCCTGCCTCAGCCTCCCAGAGGGTGCTCATTGATTGTTTAAGAATATGTTGTTTAATTTCCACAGACTTATGAATTTTTCAGTTTTATGTATGTTGTTGGTTTCTAATTTTATCTTGTAATCAGAGGAGATAATTTGTATGTTATCAATCTTTTAAAATCTATTGAGAATCAATTCAATATGACACCATGCCTAATATATGATCTATCCTGGAAAATGTCCCATATATATTTGAGAAGACTGTGTATGCTGTTGTTGGGTAGAGCGTGCTGTATATGTTTATTAGATATAGTTGATTTATTTTCTTGTTTAAATCTTCTATTTTTTTGCTTCTATCTGGTTATTTGTCCATTATTGAGAGTGGGGTAATGAAGTATCCAGTTATTATTGTAGAATTATCAATTTCCCCTTAATTTTGTCCATTTTTGCTTCATATATTTTGATAGCCTATCTTTAGGTGGGTAACTGTATATCTTCTTGCTGTATTGAACCTTTCACTAATAAATAATGTCCTTCTTTGTCTCTTATAACCTCTTTTTTTTTTTTTTTTTTAAGTTTTTGGCCAGGGCTGGGTTTGAACCTGCTATCTTTGGCATATGGGGCTGGTACCCTACTCCTTTGAGCCACAGGCGCCACCCCTCTTATAACCTCTTTTGATTTAAAGTCTATTTTGTCTGATATTAGTATTACCTTTCTTCTCTTTCGGTTATTATTTGTCTGGATATCTTTTTCTATCCTTTCACTTGCAATCTTTTTATGTCTTTGGATCTAATGTCACTCCTTTATAGAAAGCATATAGCTGGATCATGTATTTTTGGCTTTTATTACTATTTTTAATATATAAATAATTATATATATTTATAGGGTACAGTGTGATCCTTCAATACATGTATACATTGTGTAATGATCAAGCCAAGATAATTATTAGCATGTCCATCACGGCAAACATTTATCATTTCTTTGTGTTGGGAACAGTCAAAATCTGCTCTTACAGTTATGAAAAAATACACAATAAATTGTGGTTAATTGTAGTCATTATATGTATAATACTATAGAACACTAGAAATTATTTCTCCTATCTAGCTGTACCACTGTATCTGTTAACCAACTTTTGGCTACCCCCTCCTCCCTCCTACCCTTCCTCACCTCTAGTAACCACTATTCTATTCTTTACTTCTATGACACCAGATGCTTTTTAGTTTCTACCTATGAGTGAGAATAAACAGTATTTTTCTTTCTGTGCCCAGATTATTTTGTTTAGTATAATGTCCTCCATATTGCTGTGAGATACAGAATTTTGCTCTTTTTAAATGGCTAAGTAGCATTAAGTTCTTAGTCCATTTTAAGTTGATTTTTGTATATTGTAAGAAAGAGAGAGGGATCTAGTTGTTGAGCCAAACCTAGAGATGGGCATCTTTGGATGTATACATATTCCAGGAACTAGTAGAAATTGCATCCTGAAATGGCTGAGTTAAATAGACTAAAGCTGGGCTACAAGATCCAAATAGGCCCAGATGAGCAGAAATGATCAAATGATGAAGGCAGATAGAGAATGAGGAGAACCAGTGCACAGGAAGAGTGGAATCAGGCAGAAATGAAAATCTGAAGGAAACTTTTGAGCCAGAGTTCACACATTCACAGAGGCAATTTATTTAGTGTTCATGAGTGACTTTTGAATACTCTCCCAGGCGAACAGAGTGAGACTCTGTATTTCTCTAGTGACCAGCATAATCTATCTCATACACAAATTTAATAGAGACATTTTTACTTAAGTGTTTCAGTGCCTTCCTATTCCTTACAGGATTAACTACTAGGCTCGGCGCCTATAGCTCAACCGGCTAAGGCGCCAGCCACATACACCTAAGGTGGCAGGTTTGAATCCAGCCCGGACCCACCAAACAACAATGACAGCTGCAACCAAAAAATAGCTGGGCGTTGTGGCGGGCGCCTGTGGTCCCAGCTACTTGGGAGGCGGAGGCAGGGGACTTGCTTGAGCCCAGGAGTTGGAGGTTGCTGTGAGCTGTAATGCCACGGCACTTTACCCAGGGGGACAGCTTGAGGCTCTGTCTCAAAAAAAAACCAAAAAAACTACTAATGTCTGAGGCAGCATATAAGACTATTTATGATTTTCCCCTTCATTATATTTCCATACTCATCTATCATCACTTCCCTTTCCTCTTTAGCCACAGTGACTTCCTGATTATTTCCTGGAACATGCCATTCTTATACATTCCTTCATGACTCACTGTCTCTGCATATTGTCTAGAATGTTCTCCTCTTGTCTGTCTGGCAAACTTCTAGTCCTCTAGGACTTTCTGCTCCTCTGAAATCTTTACTGATCTACTAAAGCATAGTAAAACACCCTTTCCTTGAGACCTGTTTTGTCACTGGCACACAACTCTGTTTTAGCACCTAATGCAATGAATTGTAATGATTTGAAAATCTGTTTCTATAGAGTATGCACCATGTCTAATTAACTTATGTGCCTTCAGGGCCTGATATAGTTCTGATCAATAGTAGGATCTCCAAAATTGGCTTTGAATATTCAAAATGCTTTGAATAAACAAAATATTTTTGTTTAAAAGCAGGAGGAACTTATCACTAATTTATGTTGTTGATAATATCTTAGATCTAAGAGACTGGCGTCTGAAATATGTGATATTCCTTCATTGATTTAACAAGTATTTATTGAACATCTGCCTTCAGTCTGGCATGGAAATACAATGATCAGCAAAATGTGCTGATCAGCAAAATTGCTGATCAGCAAAAATGTGCTTTACTGCTTTTATTAGTTGAGAATTTATTGAGAAAACTATTAATGCATTTGTATGAATTATTAAATAAAGTAGAACACATTTTGGGTTTGTCCCATGGTGTCAGAGACTGTCCCTAATACAAGCCTTTCAGAAATATAAAGTTAAAGCCTTTGCCTGTTGGCAGCCTTCATTTATATGCTGCAGATTCCCCTGTTGTTTGTCAGCATACAAAGCCATTTTGGTTGATAAACATAACAAATTATCAAACAAATGTGTAAAATAGTTAAAACATCTTGTTCTAATCCAAGCAAAATATTGTCTTCAGAAATCTATGGAGGGCTGCTATATACCAGTGACTTTACAGTTTGATAAGTACTTTTGCATTTATAGTGGTATTTGGTTTTGCTTGTAGGAAAACTAAAGGACTATAGAGAGAGAATTAAAGAATCAAAAAAACCAGGATCACCTACTTAGGTCGGAGGGATACCTTTAGGCAGTGAGAGGCTATCGAAACATACCCTAGCAAATAAATGTCCTAGTCTATCTATTGACAATAAGACACAAACTTCTACCTCAGGCAGTGTGACTATAGGAATCTTGGTGGAAATGGAAAAGGAAAAAAAAGTCAAAACCAAAAACAGCCCCTGCCCCAACCATAGCTCCTGTGAAAATCAGATACCAGAAAGTTCAAACCAACCTAAACCTGGTTCCTACAGTCTTGACATCTCCAGAGGGTTGGATTCTGAATCCTTCTCAGTTATGATTAGCTAGAAATAAGGAAAGACTTGGAGTCAAACAGAGCAGAGATGTACAATCAGTTAGTTAGGTCCATCCAAAAGCATTAATGGCCAGCATCATGGGAGATGTGCAGTCTTTTAAATGTTGCTTGGGACAGGAGGTTATCTTTCTTGAATTTGGCTATACCATTTTACTTTAGCTTCTGGAGTTAGTTAACTAATTAGTAATTGCTGTTGAACATGGAAGTAATTTTCTTCCTTTTAGGTGGCATGCTACCACAAGGGGTAAATTTTACATCCTTCATTTTGACATATAAAGAGATTATTAACAAAGTACAAGTAAAGTAAAGTTGCAATTTCAGGTTGAATACAAAGTAGTAACAATCTCTTAAGTTAAAGCTAAGTTGCTGTGCTTAATCGGGAACTTTGAAAACAAACAAAAAAATCAAGTTTCACAAAACATATTAGTGTAACAATCAGTCCACTACTACTATTTTTTCCCCCTTTTCTGGAAGTCTCAGAGAAGATGAATAGTCTTTTATCATCTTTTAAAAATACAAGATGGTACTTAGTTCATCTGAGACTTAGGGAAGGGAAAAAATGGGAAAGAAATAAAACTATAGATTTCATAACTTTTCCAAGTTCTAAACAGAAATCTATTTTAACCTTCTAACAGACTAGTTTTCCAAAAGCAAGTTTGGATTTTGGTCTAAGAACCCACTGGAGCCATTGTCCTGTCCATTAAACGCAATCCCAGGAAAGTTAGCATAGCAAAATGTTTCATCTACAAAATTTAACATAAAACATTAAACTCAACTCAAAGTATGGTAAAGAAGAATTTTATTTTTAGTGTAAAATAACCAGGTACAAAACTTTGGGTTCTCTATCTCATTCAACAGCAAGTATCTACATACAAACAGTCATTTCTTTTCTCAAAACTGGACTCTGTCCATTTACTGAATTTTTACCATTGTGGTTTCATTGCTTGTTTTTGTTGGGCAGAATTGCAAATGTAATGAAGGAAGAGGGTTCTTGCACTGGTTTCACAGCCAGGCAAGATTACCAAGAAGTTCATTCTGGCTGCAGAAATGGAAGCATGTCATCCCCACTCTCTGGAACTGTTTGCGGATCATCATTCCCACTTCCTGGAACCTGGAGCAGGTCATCTCCACTTCCCAACATGGTTAGTGGATCATCCCCACTTCTTGCTGAAGAAGGAAGACAATCACTGCCAAGCTCTCTGCCCCCTGCGACTCTGGACTTGATTGTACCCATCAGACCTTCAAAAGATCTGAATGTGGCTGACTTCTTCATGTCTCCAAACTTTCTGCAGATGGCAGAGCCCATGGTGGACAGGGCAGCTGACGTCTTCTGTTTCACATAGGCATTAGAGACCTGAACATCATGCCAGCTCTTGGACAGATTCTGTCTCAGACCCCCCAAGGCGGTGAGGCCCAACTTCCTCTTGAGCTCCCCACAGCGTCTCTCTTTGGCTACCAGTGCTTGGCGTAGAGTTATGATTTCTGCCTCCAATTTAGTGAGCTCAGATTTGAGCTCCCTTTGATCAGCTTCTGTCATATTCCCTGGTTCAGAAGTTAGGTGGGACTCATATGTGTCCACAGAGGTGTCTGTCATGGCATTTGGAATGTACTGGGAATAAAAATCTTCGTTAAGAGAGTCCAGGTCCAATTCTTGATAGGGAAAGTCGAATTCTTGGCCAGTGGAGAAATAATCTCGGCTGGCAGAGTTGAAATCTAGGCCAGCAAGCTGAGACTCTTGGCCTGTGGGATCGGACTCTAAGTGAGATGGATCCATATCTTGGCCAGTAGAACTGGCGCCTAGGGCAGTGTAGTCCATGTCCCGGCCTGGGAAGTTGCTGCCGTGGCCTGTGGACGTCCACTTCCGGGTGGAGCGTTGGGGGTTGTACTGGGGGGGTTGCGGAGGCGGGACTTCCTGACCGGATGGAGGGCTGCAGGGAAGCTGGAGGAGGTGGGACCTCCAGCACCGTCGGTGCAGGTCTCGTGGTGGTGCTGGGCGTCCAGGAGACCTTGTGAGGTAGGTAGTGCCAAGATTATTGTCAAGAGGAGTTTCTCCTGCTACAGTGAGTGACAAGTCCTCCTTTCCAACCAAGGTGTCTGGCACTTCATTCAGTCACCTCAGCGGTTTTCAAACTCTTGAAAATCAGTTTAGGCTCGGTGCCTGCAGCTTAAGCGGCTAGGGCGCCGGCCACGTATACCGAGGCTGGAGGGCGTTGTGGCGGGCGCCTGTAGTCCCAGCTACGTGGGAGGCTGAGGCAAGAGAATCACGTAAGCCCGAGAGTTGGAGGTTGCTGTGAGCTGTGACAGCACTCTACCGAGGGCGACATAGTGAGACTGTCTCAAAACAAAAAACAAAAAACAAAAAACATTTTAGCCCTTTGCTAACAGAAATTTATGAAAAAGCCCAATACATAAATCACTGTGCCAGAGTTGGGCAGGGAGTTCAGAATTCCTGGACTAGTCTCTTTCCCCATTTTCCCGAGCTAGAAGGGGCCCTCAGACACTGCTAGCAACACTTGTAATGTGACTATGAAGGTTCCACAGAACTCTTGAGTCCAGTGGTGACGAGCGTGATCTCAGTGAAGTGCCAACAGTGCCCAAGACCTGAAGGAGTGGAATTCAGAAAATGAGTCACAGTTGTCTGTTATTTTTTGGGAGGGAGAGGAGGAGAATGAATACATCTGTAATAGTTTTTACAATTTAAGCTTAAAAGCAAAGACTTTTGTACTTTGAGAAGTTAGGGAAAATAAGATTTACACAAACGGACAGCATGGGTTTTCAGTGTTGCCATTGCATTTTCTACTCCCCTCACCTTCTCCGCCCCACCCATCAACTCTATTTCTGAAAGTGATCTGCCCCAGTTGTGAGAGACAGTTTGCACAGTAAAGCATAACAGTCTATCATAGTATCAACCCACCACATCCCCTATTCTACCCAGAGCTTGTAATTTATCCAGTGGAAAAATCAAGATGTCAGTCTAGTGAGGGCTGTGGTCAGATTTTACTTAGCTCATCATATAGCTGCCCATTCCCAGGGACTATCTTTGGGCAAGTCTTAGATTCCAGGGATTTTGTTGGATAGTTTAGTAGTTCTTGCAAACATGATCTTGTGGAACATAATATGATGCCTCAGCAAATTTCAGCAGTTTGCCATACTGGTGCCTGTGTGGCCACAGTGAAGCATCCAGCTGTGCATTCAGCCTCCTTTGGATTTACATTCAATAACCCTTTCACACAACCCAGTGTTGTTTATTATTGTCTTGTCCCTAGTGGTGTGCTTCCCTAGATTAAAAAAGGAGGCATTTTTTTTTTTTTTAAACATGAACACTGATGTAGGATTTATCTATGTATTTAAAGTTTTGGAAAGGGCAGCAAGGACTCCCTGAAAACCATTTTGTAGAATTTTCCTCCATTGCCTGTAGAAACACTGGTGGTTTTGGAAATACTCTGAGTCTGAACCAGAACTCCTCCTTTAAAAGTAAGAATGAGGGTAAAGAAATCCCTGAATTGTTCAGGCACAGTGGTTTACATGTGTTGTCCCAACTACTTGAGAGGCTGAGGCAGAAGGATTACTTGAGGCCTGTAGTTTGAGACCATCCTGGGGCAATAAGAAGACTCCATCTCTTAAAAAAAAATTCCTTGAATTTGGAACTTTCTCAGTTCAAAGTTAGGATTTTAAAACATCAGATTTGAATTTTTGTTGATTTTCCTTCTCTGGATTATTTCAGTCACTGACCTTGCTGCTTTCTTATTTATGTGCTTTTCCATCCTTCAATTCAAAATATGAAATCTCTCGTTAAGCTTTGATTCTTTTTTATAGAGTGATGGTTTTCCCTCACAGCTAAACTAAGCTGACCTCCTTTCAGAGACTTGGTTTCCAGATTCCAAATCAAGACATGGCCTCTAGATGGGGGCACCTAGTTGGCAATGTTCTGACCTTCTGAGTAAATCTAGACAAAATATAGTAAGTAGCACAATGGAACAATCCATTTTATTAGGCTTATATATAACCACATACAAAATATATTTTATTTTTTTTAATTTAATTTTTTTTAATTGAATGGTAACTGTGTACATTAATGCACTTCTGGGGTACAGTGTGGTGTTTTCACACAC